GTATTAGCAGACTAGGCCCTAAAATTAAAAACTCTCAGCACCGAAATAATATCTGACCGTCTTCTAGAGGTGGCAAGGGTTACAGACTCAATGAAGGGAAGCCGAGCCGATACAGCTCACACCAAGAATTTTTGCGTCCATGCTACCATTTCGACGAAGCGGTGAAGCTGTATTTATGCGGAGTAAAACATCTGTGTCTCGACGCTCAGATGGGGCGCTGGAAAATTAACACTGTAAGTGCATCGAGGCGATGAATCTCAGCCATACTTAAAAAGGAGCCTACTAGTTGCTGAGCGACTCTGTGGTAGTACACCACGGAGACGTCTTGCATGTCCCTTCGCTCTTAACTGATAAGTATAGGGGTCAGTCTCAAACGCAAGAACGTACTATTTACCCCTCACGGATAATGTCTACACCACTGGAGGCAGGGTGGCCTAATAAGAAAGAACTGGGCTTTATTGCACCTACCGGTGGTAATAATCACTGAACCCTGGCCCGAAAGATCGCCTCTCTCTCAGAGAGAATACTAACAGCTAGGGTTTGCAAGCTGTTAAAACCAACGGTCCGGGATATGTGAAGCCGTGAAAAGTCTGGCAAATTCCGGAGAGTCGTGTTATTTCTTACGACGTGCTGTTGTCACAAATATTATTTTGTACGCGAAGGCATTGAAGTGCAGAATACGGCAACGAAATATATACGTCTTGCGACGGGGCACAAAAAAGACAGGTTTTATTAATATTTTTAGTGAATTTTGGAGATTAAATTAACGTAAAACGGTTTTCTAGTCCAGGGCCCCGTATATAAAGTATGATTACATCGTCGGCAAGGTATGTTGGAGCACCACGGTCCAGATATCATCTGGAGGTCAAAAGAGCTAGATGTTACTAATTTCTCTCCTGATGAAGCACTGACGAGTCATCGATCCACCACTTCTAGCAAAACAAAGCATTTTTTATGCAGGTACAAGCTGCGATAGCTTTCGTGCAAGACCTGGGATTGTTCAAGATTGATAGAAACGGTGTTGCAATGTGCCTCGAGCAGAGCTCAAAAGCTTTGAGCTCTGCTTGTGAGCCAAGGTCGTAAGATGAGGCGGAAAGGGCGATTTGTACATCGCGATCTCTAGACTGTATCTGTAACAGGATTACACGTGCCCTTGTAAAAAGGCGGGTCGCACAGGATTGTGCAACCGTAAATAAGTGTGTATCACACAGTAAGTGTAATCAAACAATTTTGTGGCTACACCGTAACAAGACACCACCACGTGGCAGGATTGCCAGAATGCATATCACAGCACTTCAATTTTGAACAGAAGTATGTATTCGATTGCCTAGGTAAGTTTTAGAGTACTTGAAGGTGGCGGACTGGGATCCGCTACACTCGTACTGCTTCTTGAAAAGAACGTTAGGTCAGTTACCTTAGCTTAGCTTTCTCTAAGCAATGAGCTACTGCAGTCCTGCTGTAGTATCTTTGTTAGGCGAGAAATGATTATTGTATGTCGTGGTCTGAAAAGTGTATCGACGGGAGGACGGTGTATTCTGTCGTCTCCTGTGCTAGCGCTGGTGGAAGCATTGGACGACTGTAAGTCGAGCTAAGCACTATGGACAAGTTGGATGCTTGACCTTCTTACCAGGTATACCATGGAGGTAAGACTGAGCCGGGCAGGCTTGATCAGGTGGCAAGTGCGCTTTTAAGTCGTCCCGACTAGAACTTCAAAGCGGTGACGCCAGTCAAATGTACAGCGTACGGCTCAGATGCAACATGTGCTGCGCTGCTGAAAGCTTTAAAATGCAAGGAGTTTGCGAACTCAGATGTCAGTTGCTGCATGCACCGTTACGCTTTATCTCAGGGCTTGACATAGCACAGCTCCGACTCAGTGTGTAGAGGTGCCTCATGATGAGGACTTCAAGAACAGAACACCGCACGAGGCTCGTGATACGTTTTGGGCGGCCACCTCGGTAAAGAAATGAAATGAAGCTCCGTGTGCGCAAAAAATGTGCACAATATGTAAACACGTATGTGCGTGCGTGTAAAATGTATCAGCGTGATGATTTTTCGATGCATGCGCCTAAGCCTCTAAACAGCAAGCCAGATAGCCAGATCCGACGAAGTGCCGGTATCTCATATAGCTGAGCATAAGTTTTGGTCATCTGGGAGAAGCGTTCGGCAATATCGCTATTGTTGGCTCTGTGCACTGCCTGAGCAAGTTGGGCCATCTTGCCGTCACAAGCACTAACGATACCGTGAACAATATTGGTTACGATACAACCAAGCTGTCCTCGACATAGTGCATCTTTAACGGGGCTTAGCGATTGTATTGGATAAGGACATAGCCGAGCTTTTCGGCATCAAAATGGATATGCCAATAGCTTACTGAATGGTGAGACGAAACACGGGTATCGCTTTACGGTGGATTAATCGGAGCACCCGCGCGAATAGATCGCGATGCTGGAGTGAGTTGCTCGCCCTCATTTAGTTTGCGCTGAATTAAGGCACTTCATGCCTCTACAGGACTTATATCATTCTCAAAAATGGTTTGGTAAACTCACAGTTACACTTGACACCGCAAGAAGCGGATCTGGTCTTATGTGTAAGGAGCTGTCGATCAGAATGGACGTGTTGATAGTAGCCAAGCTAATCTTTGTATGAAAAACAGTGGCTTTATCTCGATGAGATTGAGCGTCACGTGCGGGGTGGGAGACGCTATGGCTGAAAGTCCAAATACGCCAACGCCATTAATATGTGAACCACACTCGAACATGTTGCTGAGCAACTGGTTATATGAGACGCGATTAACTCGCTTGAACATGCAGTATCTGCGGTCTCTATGATCAATTCGCGACCGCGCCACGTAGTACCGCTCACGGTCGTAAAGAAAAGAGATTAATTTATCGTCCCAACATCCTAAGCTAGGTTAGAAAAAACATCCGCTTTCAATATAGAAGTATAAAAGCCGTACTACAAACCCGCTTTGACGATTCAATCGGACATAAAAAGCTCGAAAGAGTCTGTAGCAGGTGAAGCAACGTCGCAACTAGAGTCACCCTTTGCCTTGAGCTGCGACGCAGTTTCGACCCGTCAGAGGAAGACAGTGCAACGATGAAGCTCAAAAAGCAGGTTTTAGATCTGATCAATCACAATTTCAGATGCATAGCGTGATTCTTGGAGAGAATCGATGCACCACCCGAATTAATAATGGGAACAGCTGCGTGACAGTTGGATTTCACTGTTTGGTGAAAAGGGGGTGGCCCCATATCACCAGGGATGTTTGGTAGGTCGGTGCGACGACCAGGGCTGAAATCAGTAAAAAGTGATGTGGAAGGATTAACCTCGGTGTCAGCGTTCCGCTTTGGCAAGAATGTCCAGGTGCTGTGGCCACTTACCATAATTTCTTTTATCAAATAGGCACGGTTGCATATCACAATGTTTTCCCCACTTGAAGGAAGTGCCCGGGTCAACCCTTGCGGTGAGAAAAATCATCAGTCGGTAACTGCTACAGCTGTCTCGTATGTGCTCGCCCCCGCGTGTCCAGACGTATCGTGCGCGTTTTAAAATGTGCTAAACCGTTAGGGGACGTATGACAAATATAAGACTATGTCCACGACTTAATTGTTTAATTGTGGTACAATCTATTTCCGCAAATCTCACGGCTGTTGGAGGGTCTCTGTACGGGCGATGCTCGAACCGCGTCGATTCTGTCAGAGCGTTGAACGTCGCGTCTGATGCCAAGTACAACATCCGTAACGCGAGGGCTGTTGGAGTGGGAGGCGGAGGTCCACTGAGTGCGCTAGAAGCAATGGATTTATCTTCTAACTCCGCGTATGCTACAGAATTTGAAAATATGCTATGTATCAAACAGCCGCGCTATCAGTGAGACTCATCCTTTTGGTTAGAAGGTGCGAAGTCCAAATCAGCACCAGTAATTGGTACTTGCAATGGGGCTGCCGCACCTTGTACAGGGGGTGCTTTGATTCCTATAGTCGGCGTTGACTAATTCACAGGATTTATATTTTAACCAGCGGTACCAGGAGCCTCTACAATAGCTAGTTACTTGGTTTGCTCTTCTACTTTAGAAGTGACATGTGCTTAAAAGTGTCAAACCAATACTCCAAAAATGTACATTGAACCAAAGTTCACATTTCACTTCGTGTATTGTTGAAAACTCGAAGGCTATCACATTATCTGTACTCATGAAGATTTCAGTCGAGGAAAGGTCCACGAGACATATGATTTGTTCGTCTCACGTCAAGCAATACAGCTAGTCTGCTTACTGGATAATGTGAAGCTCTTAGACCATAGTAATGTACATAACCCGTTGGAAAACAATATTCTAAAAGATAAACATACTAAAATATATAGAAAAGCAAGTCTTAAGTTTGCACGAAACCCACTGTGCTTGGAAGCTAATCTAGATCAATCTTAAGCCAACAATTGGGTTCTTTCATAGACGTGTGATTCAGTAGCAACGTGGAAAACAGCTACATTTACTTACACTTGAACTGCACAAATCGTATGGTATAATCTACCCTTAATTATTTAAGCCTTAGTCAATATGTTAAGCTCAAAGCGTGCTCTGACATGAACGCGCTTAGGGTGTGTAATCCAAAGATCTCTACGACACCTTCACACACTTCAAGGCTACGGTCATCAAATCCCTCAATTTATATCTTCTGAGTCTTATAAAGCTTGAGGGATTTGCCGACTAGACCAAAGACTTAAAAGATGAGTTCGCAATGGATGAGTGCACCGTACAGTTGGCTAATTGACAGCATTTGGGATGCCGCATATAACAAAGCTTTCGAGGTCAAGAAAGTTTAAGGAGGGCCCACGGTTCAAGGGTTTTAATTGTCAGCGGAGCCAGTCGGTCCATATGTCGCACATCGTTGATTCATATGAGACCTGATAATTTGCTGTATGTAGTTTGCTCCAGGTATCTCGTCTTTTGATCCCATCAACTTGGAATCGTCTTTCACGGCGACGATGAAAGCAGGCTGTGATGGAGGCATTTAAACGCTAGAGAGGAACGAAATCTGATGACTGACAACTGTGTATGTGCTCAAAGAGTGCTTCGCTGCGTTCAAGGCCAGAGAGCAAAGGATTTCATTCAGCGTTGTAGAGACAGAGGTTGTGAATCTCAGTCCGCACATCTAGACGCATGCAATGCCAGGAACATAAGTCGCGACTAAATATGCAGCGCGAAGTCATCCATCATAGCATCAACTGCTTATTTTTGCTGCAAGTGAAGTTATGAGTACTCATATGACAACACTTGAAAACAAATCTCTAGTGTTTCGATGCTGAACATGTTACCGCCTATTGCGTACGCATCAATTCTTGTCAATGAAGTTTTTAAACAGACGAAAAGATGATTATCTTGCTTACACGACAAGATTTATTCGTCATGATCGCAGTCACATCATGGACGCTGCAAGGGATACTGTGATACATAGATATAGTTGTAATATAGTTCATTTCCGATTCGCCTATATTCGTCGAATATTTCGTTTTTATTTCTTTTAGTTATATTTAAAGTAAGCTTTCAGACAAAACATAGCATAATTATACAAAAAGTAACTTGATACCTGGGAACTAAAATGTTGTTGACGTAAGTTTTAATTCTCGGTCAAGTTCTTGGCTAAAAGTGACGACTTCCTGAGCTCACACAGATAGTTAGACATATGATTGCTTTCCAAAAATTCAAATTAACATTATTCGTGACTATCATAAGATGTAAGTATCTGTAAATTTACATCATTAGTAGATCAAATCTAAAAGCACAGTCAGTGTTTTGGGCAAAAGGGTGTATGTATTAGATGCAACTACAGTATATCACAGATTCAATCGCGACAATCTCAAAAACTTGCAACATATGCAATTCGAGGATGTTACTTCAACAAAGCCGCAACATTCCTGTAACTCAATAGTTTGCTTACAAGAAGTAGGCGCCAACAGCCATGATGGTTGCGCAAGCAGCACCCATAGTAATGTGTGAGGCAGCGCTTGTGCTAGAATCGGCGGGAGACGAACCTTCAGATCCGCTCTGCGCCGTTGCTTCAGGTAAAGAAGATGTAGAGTCAGGTGTTGAGGAATCAGGTGTGGTGGCATCGGGGGTTCCGACTTCATTAGGAGTCCCGTTGTCTTGTGGAAGTGATCCTGTCGTGGGCGCGTCGCTTGGCGTGGCGCCGTCAGTCTGAGTTGTTCCATCCGCGGCAGGCGTAGCGGTAGTAGTACCATTTGTAGGGGCTGCTTCAGTTGAGTTAGACGCACCAGTCGTTGTAAGAGATGCTTCAAGTCCAGTTCCTCCAGCTTCTAAGGAGGCCGTAGCACCGGTAGCTGTCGCACCAGTTGTACCAGCCGCACCGGTAGCAGTCGCACCAGTTGTACCAGTTGGGACAGTATTGGCGGCTGATTGACCGTTTACAGAAACAGCAGCAATGGCAGCTAGAACGAGGACTTGAAAGATCTTCATAGTTGGAAGTTTGAGAGTAGGAGTCGGTTTGGACTTGGGATCTAGTGAGTGAAAACGAGAATGAGGTCATACGTCGCTCAAGCACTCGAGGTAGAGGGTGTGAAAAACCTCACAGATCACTTTTCTTTCGTTTACCATACGATCACGCGACATTGTCACCTTGTGGTTCGACAGATCTCGCGATTAAACGATAGGAAAAGTGTAAAGGCACGTGGACAGGTCGTGACCAAGAGAATCGAATCAAGATTTTACTCTCTTTGGAAGTGTATGGAATTCTTTCCATGGAAATGCTGAAATGCCCCGTGCGGTGAAATGATTTGTAGTTCGGAAGGTAATGTGACAATTTAGTACGAGAAGCAGGTGTGTCGTCCTTATCGTTTGCATCAGATGAGGATAAAAAAGAAATTCTCTATTCTGTCATTTCTCAATACATAGCTCTATGAGATGCTTCGAGCTTCTTAATCTTTCCTGTATTTATCTACATGGGCGCTTGTGTTTGTCAAAAAGTATACTTTGGGATATGGTAGAGTACTTTAGCGAGCATATGATATGCGGCATATCAATTGTTTGATCAGATGTTATAATACAACGATCTAGACTTTCTTCTTGATTGATGTGTTAAAATATTCATAATACTGTAAAAAAACACTATGTAAAATGCTGATTTCTGAATTCTACTACTTTAATTTTCTGACTGTTTTTAGATCGTTCGTCGGTCATGATGGTAGCTTCATAATGTTCTAAGCGTTGCTGCTTAAACACTAGAGTGGTCCTGATGTCTACGATGAACGACGAGAACATACCTATGAGAAACACCCCATATGTTGGAAAGGTGGTAGAAGGATACATAAACTAGACAATGACCAGAAACCTGTGCATGGAATTCGCGGGAGAGGTGCGTTGCCTCAGCTGTGGTTACCTAACATTTGCTTTTAGTGTAGGTTACGCGTGCTGGAATTGCATATGAGGAAAGGTGAAATAAGTAAATCCATGTGCTAATAAACGTGCGAGCAGCGGATTTTCATATAAATGAAGTCTCTCATAAATCAATTTGATGTGAGGCACACAGAAATTCCATGTGCTGTAGTATTGTCATTCGGTTAGGCTCAATAATTAAGGTTGCGACTAACGAAGATATTATCATACTTTGAATTATGGGTAGAGTAGATAAACTAATATAGTTTATGTTGGTTAGACGCAAAAATACAATTAGAATACGTATTTTGGAGATATTAGAGGTTGTAATTAAAGTCTTAAGTTTTTTATAAACAACACAGTTAATCTCCAACACACCAAGCACAAGTTTATCTTACTTGTGTATAGACTACAAGCCGAGCTCTTCTGAAAAGCGCTTGTCAAGCACGATGGATAAATACTACCCCGTCATTAAGAAAACAAAGCCAAGGTTCTGAGCCATTTTGGCCTTTAAAATTGATCTATCAACTATATTTGATCCCACAATTCGTCTGGCAATAACTTTTAGTATCTGAACTCTCATTTTTATTAGAATAGTATTGTGTTCAAAAGTATCTCTTAAAAATAATTTTTAAGGAGCGTGCACGATGCAGGCAGCAGTTAATGCAAAGCACCTCCTTACCGAGAAGTAGTCTTAGTTTCAAAGTCTGCATTGATCAACGCACACACGGTGAGTAACGCCCTAGGGTGTCGAAAAGTGTGAGTCTTTCAATTGACTAATACCTGCACTTGCACAGATTATACAGTGTTCTGTATAGAATTTAGGCTATCCAAACACGATAATTCATAAACTTGCTTTATCTACTATTTATGAGAAATATATATATATATCGCATTGCGTGATGTAGCTAGCTACACATGCGTTCCACGGACCTCTTCTATTCCAAGTCCCATCATCCTCATCCTAGTTATGATACATTAACACGGTACTACACGCTAACAAATTTGGGCTTGATATATGGCGGACGATAGTGTCACGTGTCCGTACATCTTAGTTGGGTTCGTACGACCAAGTTTTGAGCGTGGAACAAGGCATTTCTGTCTCATCTTCTATAGTAGCAAGAGACCGATGGTGTGCTCAGTCATAGGTGGCAACGGCGCTAAGCAAATATTTGAAAGTGAGAACCGAATCTCTCAAAGATCCTACATCTTGTTCTTCATCAGAAATTGACTGCATCATGACGGAGCGGCCGAGACACTTTCCGTGATACAAAAAAATGGCATTCTCTTGATCCCCGAGTGGAGCCAACGGAATGCGAGCCTTGGCGCACTAACTAAAGCTTTATTTGACGTCAACATCCCCCCTAGCGGCTTTACCTGCCTTTGCTCTCACTTTTCCAACGCTCGCTTCACGTTTCTACTTATTTGTTGCGTAAGAAGCGGTCTGTAGGACCAAATCGCTATAAAGCAGAAGATGGATATATTTCCGGTGATGGCGAATGAGTGCTTTACACGGAAAAGGCTCGCATAAGCGGGGTTGTGGTACGGTCTTAGCAAGCTCATAGATAAGCTGGGTCTGCATTTTCTTTTGAATTGCCCAACCAAGCTCAATCCCTTTGTGATCACGACCGTAGAAGATCTAATGTAGCGGGGCCGCAGCGTGTTCTGATAGACTGCAGACAACGCATGAGTAGGTAGGCCAACAGAAATTATCCTAACATTTAAGTTACCCCACGCCGCTTATCACATCCTGACTTTCAATCCTAGTGTCGCGTAATTGAGCAATGATGCTCATTGAGATTAAGTGGTCGATTTTGCTACGAAGTGCAGCTGGGCTGAGGTTACCAAACCAATTCTCTACCGATACCAAAGCCACCTCGTGGGGGTGGCGCGAAAGCATGGGATAAGTCAAATCCCATCAAGCTGAGTTCAATTCTGTATGGAGTGTATACTGCGATATTTAAGGCAAGCTTAAAAACCGAAAGGATGTAGCACTGGCACCGCGGTACATACCCGCAATGCTTTGGGAGATGCTTTTCATCGTATGACTGGCGCTTCCTGTCTAACAATCGGTTTGTGAGTGGTCATTGTTGGATATTTATAATCCGGCGCCTAACACCTTATCAACATTCTTAAAAATGCTGCTGAAAAGCACGAAACTGATTCCAGAGTTTGGTCGCCTGCAAGCTATTCGACAGAAAACGTTATCTAGAATGTACACAGTCGGAACGGGGTTCTCGACTCGCAAAGACCGCGATGTTGGGATTATTCGCTCATCCAAAAATTTACAAAAGTACTAAGTACGACATTTGCCGAAACCGGCAGACAATTGTGAAGTGCCAGCTTATGTGACAAGATTTATATCGACTACACAGATCACACGTGCGCATAGAAATGCTTACTAATGGTACATGTCAAACAACAAGCTTACTGCGATCATCGAGTCTAGCGTCCTTTACCTGTCGAATGGTGATATCATGTGTCTCATATAGTATTCTGAAGATTTAAGAAACGGATATCTGAGATCACGAGTCGCCAGTTACTTTGATGATATAACATGCGAGAGATAACACTCCATCTATTCCAAAGCGTATAGCAGTGCAATACATTTTTGAGGCTGACCCGTACATCATATACGTTTTGCTCATTTATTCACGACATCGCCATCTCGACAGCTGGTAGTCTTTGCGTCACTAAAGCGCACCACGATCACATAAAGAAGGTATATATTCTGCCTCTTAAGTGCACATGGCAAAGATAGATATCATCATAGATGAACATATTGTCATTCTGTGTAAGACGTGGTGACAATTGCTCTCTATGAAACGACGCATGGTCTATACAGCCCACGGAAGGCTCACAATTTAAGCAAGTGTACATTTAAATGCCAAAGGTCATGTCAAGTATATTTTTTTATTTACCGACCGGCTGAATTTTGTGCCTTATTGTAGCGAAATTTGAATGCAATGACCTGTCATGCCCATTGTTATCTGCTATTGCAAAAGACCAAATCATCAGACGATTTAGCATGAGCGACTTTAAATTCGGAAGGGCTAGGATCGTGGTACACAGGATGATCGTCTTCACAGCGTCGAGAACCGCCTCTTCTGTCGAAACACTAGAGCATTCGATTCCCAAATAAGTAGATTGATCCGTAACTGTTTCATGACTTCTTCACTTATACTGCAATTGCCCAAAATGTTGACCAAGTCGGCCAAACTTCTTCAATTGCTTTGCTGAGGAATCCGATAGTTTGTCTTTATAGTCTCGACTTCTGTCCTAAGTCATGCATTCTAGTAAAACATTCCGATTTAAACACAAACATCACTTTAAGTCGGTATAAACCATATTAAGGCGCATACACACGAGCAATGCTTTTTTGCTGCTGACGAGTATATCGACATGCAATCGATATAGCTACACGACTATCTACGAATATGTACCCTCGAATTTGGTATGCACATATGCACAACGAGACCTGAACAGCAGCGTCACTGGACGACTGAGTGTCGCTGGTACATTATACAGTATCTAACTACTCCTGCAGCATCCCGCTCGAAGCATAAGTGGAATGTCTTTCGCTCGTGAGATCGTTTGATCGCATTTATTTAACAAGTCAAGGTCGTTGAGTGGGCTCACCCGGCCATGCTATTTCGTAGCGCGTCGATTATGCGAATCGACGTATGCACCGAAATGATGACTGCATCACGAGGATTTGAAGCTCGCACAATTTTCCACTTAGTTTTAGTCTTTCTGACGGTACGTCAGCACCAAGCGAAGAGCTATACCTGTCACCAAACGTGCTTCGTGCTATAAACGTATGAAAGCTTAGCTGACGTCTCATTGATTTCGTTGTTATAAGGCGATTGGCTAACGACGCTATGCTTGGCTCCAGAAACCGGATACGCCTTCCCGATCAAAAGGCGACATACTTGGTGGTTCCGCCACCATGTGTTGTAATTTCATTGGCGAATGATGAAAGCCTTGTAGAATTTGAGAATTGACGTTCAACTCGTCATACACATTGCGCTGTGGATTACCACACAGAAGGATTTATATTATTACCTGATAAAAGCTCCGATTCTTTACCAGCATCAATTGTTTCAAATTGTTAGTATCATCATATTGAAAATTTTCGACCGCATCAACTCAACTGGTCGAGCTCATTAAGAACTTGCGCCTAGAGAAGTGTCAAAGCAATATCCGATCACTTCATTACGATTGAGTACACTTCCTCACAACAAACACTTGGGGATTGTCTGATCCAAACAGTGAATGTGATACACAGTGCGACTGGGACAACTCAACCGCTTGGACTGGTCTCCACTCAATCGAACGCAAACTGGGAGACTGTGTGGCGCTCTTACCTTTTCCAGCTGCGAAAGTCTCTTGGTACACTATCCAACAGCTATAAGAAGTTTTACTTCTCCTTGGGGGTACTGCTTCTCGATCGTGGCTCATTGATGCTTCACCCCCCCTCAATCTCTGCAAAGACTCCTAGCCATATCGCCGATAATCATTCTGAACAATCTCATGCTCTGCATCAAAGCCGCCAGAGCTCCATTGCCGAATCAATAGCTCTTTGATTTTTCAGCAATGTCGATTTATGATGTCATGATACTTATTTGCACGGCATGGAATGCTTCGACTTGCATTCAATAAATTCCTGTGAGGTTCTAGCCACGCCACACTCAGCTCGATAAATATCTCCATTTTTGGCTCAGAAGTCAAACAACGTGTCACGCTATCGAATTACCCAAACGTTGCAGAACAGTTCAAATAAAACTCAAATATTCCTATAAACTTTTCCATCACAAGCACTATCGTCTGCATTTGGCATCTACGCAAAAAAATTGATTTTTTTATTAGTCGAACAACTGCACGCTGTTCCTGAGCTCTTCAGATTTTCCACATTTTGACAAAACCCAGAACGTAAATATAAACAGTTGACATGTTAAAGCTTTAGCTTATTCAATCTTTGATATGGTCGCTCCCTTCCGGGTCGAGCCTTATCGATATCGACCTCCGCGAGATACAACAGGACGCATATCTTTCAGTAGACCGCTATTCGAAACCGAGACTCGACAGTATCCGCAACAATCTCACGTGTGCGACCAACCTCACACATGTCATCGTAAAATGGGAAGCTCGCTTATGCGCACGCTAATGCTTCATCCTGGACATGGCTGCAATCATGGCCATCTCAACCCCGTTGAACATTCAAAGCTTGACGCTTCGGAAACGCAGCCTCATTTTAGGGGCTGTTTGAGCTCCATCGAACAATTTGCTGAAATATTCATGAAAATCTGGTAACAACGCATTTTTTCCATAGCTACCAGGCGCCTTCAGACGAGCCAGAATCGCTTATAGTCTTTGGGCCGCCGGCTTTGCGATTCCCATCGGCTCAGTTTTTAACAGCAGCTTTATCAAGCGTGTCTTGCTCTCCTGAGAACAAATAATGAAGCACATTGTATCCGTCCTACCCGATATACAGATTTATTCAATAAAAAGCGTGGGATGACGGCAAGTAGGAGTAAAGTGGTCGCCGTGCATTTTGCACGGGAGAGGCTTTGACTCTGGAATTTCGCATTTGTTCACAGACAGAGAACCTGTGCCGAGTCGCAAGCCTCTTAAGTAGCAGGTACGATATTTGCTCTACTTACAGGAGAATTGTAAGGCATGTCTGTCGATATGTCATAATAAAACTTATGTAGCCCATTGCGTGACACCTTCAGTCCACATATATCACGGACATAACTATCACGTAGTTTCACAGCCACCATCCCTACGTAGTGAATTCCTCTCAGAGCTTGACCTTGGTGCCTCTGACTTTCCTTTAAGCCAAAGGGCCAAGTAGGTATACTAGCCGACTGTAAAGTATGAGTTGGCTATTGATAGTCCAAAAACGAAATGCAAAGTCGTGCATCCAGCAATCCGCAACACTAGATTTGACTTGTGAGGATGCCTGATAGGCGAGGTGACGCGCCTTCCCCCGTCTGCGCTCGAATGTAGTCATCTAATCTGAGGAAAGCAGAAACTTACATACGAAGTTCTCATTGAGGGATCTAGTATTATAAATGCTGCTGGATATGCGGTAAGGAGTACTGAAAATGAATCGTGGGTTAGTCGGAAATCCCAAAAGCATTGTTGGAGCGAGCCGGATGCATTTTTGGCCTCTGATTGAGCTCATGACCCACCCCAGATTCCTTGAGATTTTGCTAGTGTGTGACTTTAAATCGAGTCGAGTCAATCCACAATCCCAACGGGACTTGATCTCAAGAAACCTTCTTAGAATCAGCTGCAACCCTAGCGCTTGGATCGACTCAATACACCGGTTTCTGTCTATTAGTGATCAGGTTGGAATACGCGGCAGGATGTCTAAAAAGCCTATTTCTGGGAGTGGTGCTACTCAAACAAAGATGAGACAATTCGTAAAGTACGTCAAGTTGGGAAATCTGGCAGATGAAGAATGCTTAAAGTAGATTTTAAAGGCTCAAAGGTAAATTACTATAACAAAGTCCCATGATCACTACTTGGTACAGAATCAGGTGATTGAACTATGAATAGACAAAATCCATTAAGCATATGGCTACCAGCCTCATGCTATGCATGACATAGTTCTGATCGTGATGGATTGTAAACATATATCTTCCGTAACATTCCGTGATATTAAAGCAAGAAATGTAAGTATTGCGTATGGATCCTACTTTCGAGGCGTGGATGGCGTCTTGTGTTCTATGCACCGATTTTAAGTAAACTCGTATGATCAGAGCTCTCTCCGCGCGAAGTGCACGACAGCCATATTGCTTCATCTCCTCGGTGTAACGAGGTCTTTTTCAATCACAAATGCTGATTTAGCAAAAACAGTGGCAGCCGTTTTGTCCTTGACCATTGCTACCAGAATCGAGAATTGATCTCCGAAAACCGCAAAACGTTTGTACCCGATGCTGTAAGAACACTCTGAAGTGTACGAATGCACTGACTGTACTATTTCGTATACAACACATCGTTTCGCGACTGTGCGCGACTGGGAGGCCTCAATGCTCGTACTATTTATCGACTGTGGCGGGACTAAGTAAAAGAGTTTTTGTGAGACACAAGGGTTGCTAGCCTCAGGTCAAGCAATACCCATGTTTTGTCACAACCCACCGTAGAGCATATACCTTCCAAAAGCAAAATGACTTGATCCTGAATAAATGTGTCACTTCGTATCAAATGAATGAGGTAGCTACGTAATTTATCACTTAGAATGCTCATGGTTTTGCTCTGGATTGGTGCGGACGAGCCCATCCTCTGTACATCATCACGTGGTCTCCTATGCCAAAGTTACTCTGCGCAAGATGCAAGACACGGCAACCGCGTTGCATGAGGTACATTTATGGACCTGATACTCTTATGTGTATGTTTTACTTCGTGTTGCTTGAGAATAGTGAACGTCAACTTTGCCGTGCGACAGTGACTGGCTACCGTTCGGTCACCGCCAGACCCAGATCTAACACCCACTTGTTGTAGCAGTTGAAAGCTTAGCATAACTCATATATGCTAGTATCAATTGTACATACTTTCATCCAAATAATTGTGTAATTTACCAGAATCACCATCGATAAGCAACATCCCATCTTAGTAGTGCCTATTGCAGTTTTTAGCCATCAGTAAAGGTCCACTTCTCTCGCTACATTTTCAAAACACAAAGTATACCGGAATGAAGCTAATTACAGAAACAGCATACGCTTTTCCAAAAGTCTGTTTGTTTGTAAGACAGGCCTTTCTAATCGTGCGAACATAAAGCAATGTAAGGAAGCGAACTACAGTTCAACCTTAGTATCTTATACACTTGATTGATTGGCTCATCATACCCACACAAACATAAATTAAATTTCAGATCTCGATTTCCTAGTCTGTAAATAACTAACTAAAAATCAATTAATTATATAGGTCAAAGCTTATGATTTACCCGGTTAGCGCAAAAACGCTCGGTGCTGGACCGTGTTATCCTACTTCAAGTATTCCAACGTACCTCGGATATACATGTCATTTACAATAGATGACCGACTATACTTTGCGATCCATGTCAGCAGCTTCGCACGAACATACGAAAAATCGTTTTTCTGAGCTCTTTTGTGCAGATGGCATTTCATATCGGTTTAGGACTTGCTCGGATTCTAAATTGTATCGGTGAAAGAGCCTGAAGCAATAGCTATAGTCTTACGGCGTAACTATACATCATATGCCTCTTTCAAAATCAAAAGGGCAATCTAAACAAAAAAGCCTACCCATCAAACTTAGAGGTGTCTGCGCATATTTTTTTGAAAAGAATCGTTTGTTCCAGTTATATCTCAAGGCTCACTGCGCCATGAGCAGAACTAGACCCAATCCATAGGGATGTTCAAGGAGAGAATCACGTCTTAACGATTTTGTTTTTACGATCAATGTATTGTGGTATCATTCTCACAACAGCATTTCAACCAATTAGACCTCAAAGAAAACTCTAAGATTCAGATCCTTAAATATTGTTGTCTCAAAGGCGTGACTATTGTCTCAATTGTCATGTCGTCTAGTTTCTCCATTAAAGCATGGTGAAAGTTCAGGTAACCCATTTCCAATATCTGGAGTGGTGCCTTGATTTAGGCTAAACCGTTTACAAATGCATATGATATTAGTTAAACGTGCTTCTTTTTTATCTGAACACATCTTTATTTTTCTTGTCAGAACGTAAAAACGGGCGCAGTAGAAGCAAGTCGAAAATGGGAACGATGGTGGCATTAACATACTTACACTGACTTCCTATTAACGCGCAATACAACAAGAAATGGTGCGCGCAATCTTTTTGACGGTAGTTATCTTTGTAGCTCCATCCATGGTACAAAGTTACGCCAAGTACGCCGAATTGGCCCCGAATAATGCTCAAGTACCCGGTAACCCAAATGTTGGACATCTTGATCCGGCAGGTGAGACTGGAACTAGTCCCTTTGGTGACGCATTTTCCAAGGCTGGAAATATGTGGAGTGTGGCATTATGTCAAGCAGACACGGATAACGACGGCTTTACCAACGGACAGGAACTAGGGGATATGTGTTGTACGTGGGTGCCAGGCAGCACAGCTGGACTCATAACGGACGGCTTAAGTGACCCATCAGATCCTTCTAAGACTCCTACAAATGCTGAGCTTCAGACTGGATGTTCGAAACCTTCGGTCTCTGCGAATTTCTCAGGCAGTGGCGTAGTAGACGACACGGTAGGCACAGTTGTTCCCGTTGGTCCATCTGTCGGTGGCCTTCCCATGGATGATGATGAGGACGACGACTCAGAGAGTGCAGTCGTGACAGCTGGTACATCAACAGCAACTTCGAGTATCGTGGTCATGGGCTTGGCATTTATTATTGCTCTTGCTGTTTTATTGTAAATGTTTGCGTTCATGTTTGTTAGTCTCTACGACTGTTGTGGAGCAAGTGTATCAAACAAAGCTGTTCTTCATGCGTTAACAATATATTGCCTATCTATCGACAATTATTTTAACTAGAAAAACAATAGTGAAACTGGAACATATACAATTAAAAAAGGCCTACAGTAATAGCGAGCAGTAGATTGTTTTCTGCTCAAACAATTCTCTTAATACCCTACTGTGAGCGACGTTTAACTGGCAATTGCACTCGTTTGCTTAGTTTGACGATGGAATGACGAATACAATGACCAAAATCCCCACAAGCACAGCAATTACGCCATATAACTTGCACACCTGAGCAATACAAAGCCATTAGTTGTGTTAAGAATTAATGACAACGTTCAAAGAATAACCACTTGCCTTCTTTTTGCGAGCATTTACCGCACGTGCTACTTGTTCTTCTCTTGAAATGTCTTGTGTAGCTGTATCCATGCGCTATTCATATCAACAACGCAATAATATTGTAAGAAATCAAGTTTTAAACCACACCAGACCTTCCTATTGCTTACAGTGCCAATGTCGTCAATCATGATATTCTGTTCAATCACTTCACCATTAATAGCATGCGCATGATTCTTAAGACCCACAACACCGCCATGAATCTGATCCAACAGCGCATCCTGTCGCGCTAAATCGTCAGCACGGCGTTGATCGAACTGCTGTTGAGCATCCATATTGCGATAATTCTCTCCGTTTTGTGGCATACTTTAAGTAAGTCTAATGTAATGATGAAAGGGCTCTCAATGTATGAGAGAAAGCGAGTTTCGCGTTATATGAGAGAGACGTCAGTTAGGTGCCTTATATGGTGTGCGATACCGCAAAAGTTACATGGATTTTTTGCAGCTGGCGATTACTGCCTACGTAGGGGTAGGCTGAAAAAGTAACCAAAGTTAAGGTTTGCTGACTTTATAGAGAAATGATTGCGCACCTTTCCCTGATGGCATCAATAACAACTTTGAATCCATTACATTCCTTTGTGCTACAATTTTAGTACATATAGAATTAACAAGCAACGACTCACAACTCAACAATTTAATATGGACAGTACGCTTTGGCATCGTATGCACGCTGTTAGAAATACAGCAGTATTCTCAGTACACACTTTAGATAGAAGTGTGTAATTACATTCCGATATAAATTCAGCTTGCTTCTATAACTTGTAGTACTTAAGTAAAGCAACAATAATAAAGGGAAGCTATAACGAATCTTTGCGTATATGACACGTTTGACAGGTCACTTAAGAATGTAAACGTACCAAATGTAGATTGCGATGAATAGACTTTTTTTACATTTCTGATTGGTAGCAAGCTGAATGCCCTTCTGCATCAGATTCTAAAGCTTTACGCGTTAGGCAATGGTTATAGCAAATTGTGCTCTTTGCGAAATCTTTATCATACTCCATCGGTTTTGACCGGAACTCCCCATAGCAACACGAACTTCAATTACGAGTAGACTTAAGACAATATATATGTTGGTTTAGCGTGCTATCATATAACGGAAAACGGTACTATCAGGCAAACTCAGCTTTAAGATCGTCCTCTCAGGTTCACATCGCTGCTTGGATTCTGCAGGAACGCACTGTTCTAATGTGCGCGTACGCCTTACATTACCGTGCAATTTTGCAGAACACAATATTTAGTATACAAAGGTACCCAAGTATTGCTACGAAGTTCTCATCGTAAAGATCCGTGGAACACGTGGACTGTCAGCCTCACGTCACGCAAATAGCTTTTCTGTCGGATATTGTAATTGCGTAGACTTTGTGTTATCTTAGATATTATCAGTTTCAAATACACATTAGCAGAGCAAACTAGGTTACCTAGGAAGCCATTGGATCCGCTCCTAGGTACATCGTACGAGCTCAACATCCGTGCGCTATTTATGCGGGCTCTTCTAGTTAGAATCATTTCTTGTGTGAAATACACAACAAACTCGTTGCACTTGGTAGCACTTGCCAATCCCGCGACTATATCGCGAAAACACTGTGTCCTCATGAGGAAAAAATTTAATTGTTCGATAGCATATCATATGGATGGCTAGACACGCATGGAGACTTATGTCTCTTGATTGTTCCGAAGGGGTTAGAGATCTGATGTGCCAAAAAACCAGAATCGAAATTTGCTCGTCCGGAGACGTTTGCCAGCTATGAGTTTGCGATGACGACACACCTCTTATGACGCTATAATCGGGTGTCAGTGGGATGATTAAAAAAACTTACCTTCATGCTATTGATGATGGGACTCACAACCTGGTAGAGCAAGGAAAATATAGATATCTCTTGCTGGATGAGAGGAGCTAAGATGGACATGAATTCGTTTATACTCCAGACGAAGCGATATCGCGTGGTGTAATCGGATCTCGAGCTAGCAGGACGCGTGAAAAGTTGTGCTGCAGCACCCAACGCATTATAAAAAAACGGCATTCTTGACTTGCGAAGGTTCAGGTTACAAATGTTGTGGGTGGTCGCACCGCTT